TGATTGAGAATTGGGGTTCGGAATTTGAGTTTTAATTCCAGGAGGTTATATATATTGTAGTGGTGGATCCGTAAACTAAGGGAAGAGATGTTTTTACTGGTTTAAGGTGCATCTACCAAGGTTTTTTAAACTCGTGTATATAAAAAACAGTATATAAAAACGGGAACCTCAGAGAGTATTTAATCTAACCAAAGTCACCACCACATGAGGAACTGTATTAAAGGGTCGCCGCAGCATTAGGAAGGTTGAGAACCACTGCTGTAGAGGGACGGTTGTTTCTGGCAGGTTAAATAAACACAGGATCTTTGAGTAGCAACATTACTTAACCTGCTTCATTTATGCTAAATTGTACATATGCAGTCACATTTATCCCATGGTCTTTTCAAATGACTAGTGAAATGTTTATTTCATATCAAAGCAAAACAAAGAGTCTCTTGGGAGAAAGCCATCGGGTCTCCCGAGTGCGATTGAAGGCATCCAGGACTGCAGAGGAAGCAGAGCCGGAAGTGTGGTGGTTTCCCCTAGTCCTGGAGAGTCGCAGGGTCTCATCGGAGTGTATTTCGGGCCTCCTGAGTGGTGAGGGTCGCTAGCAGCAGGTCTCCTAGTCAGGGTCATGGAGGGCCAGCTGGCCTTACTCCTCAAAGGCCATTCCTTTTCACGATAACTCCTGGCCTGGCCCCTGACGTGTACAGCCACTTGCTGAAGTAGATGGAAGCAGGTAGGCTCCAGGGTCTACATAGGTAAGAGAACAGTAGTTTCCTACTCTGGTTTAGTGTTCTCTGCCTCCCCTTCACACCACGAGCTTCTAAGTCTGTGTCCCCAAAATGGATTTCTCCTCAGTACACTTTGGGGCAGGAGTGGAGAAAACTGCCATCACCTGAACCGCAGGCTATTGGAGCTATTGAGAGCGCCCAGGAACTCCCTGCTGAAGGTGATTTTTAGATACCAAAAAGATAGGCATTTGTTTAATCATTCACTTATACAGCTCAGGCTCCGTGCTTGGACATTTGAGGGAGGGCTCCCTAGTAAAAGAACCCAGCCAAGTTTTAAAACAATTTAAAAAAGGGATAGCCGGGGAGTTGTGTGAGGATGGCAGTGCGGGAGCATGCTCTCCCCAGATGGGAGTGGCCTGCCTTTCCAGGTGGGGCTGAGGGAGAGCAGTGCTCAGGACGTGCGGCCTCTGTGCCTCCCCTCTTTCGTGACTGGCGGGTATCTCCTCCTGGAGATGACTGCTGGTCAGAAAGCTCTTAGAAATCCGCCCTTCCCCTTCCAAAATGTGGTCACACACCTGAGACAGCTGAGCCGAAGTAACTCTTCAAGTAAACAGTTAAAATGCATCTAATTAGATTTCAATCCGAGTTTTAAATAGCTTTCTCGGTTTTAAAACCCTTTATAAAGGTTCCCAAACGTATTTGGCCTGATGTCCCTTTTTCAAGTGGGGGGTGGGGGGCGGAGGGGGGAATTAATCAGTGCCCCCTAACAGTAAAAACTCTTATACTCTAGCCCATAATCAGATATAAACTGTTGGTTGTTCGCTTCTGCATGCAGCACTCCCCCCCGCCTCATCTCATTGCCCCCAGGCAGCAGTGCCTTTTATTACTGCCATTGGCAAGCAGAAGCGTAGAGAATCAAGAAGTATACTTTCTTAAACTGTATTGATGTCAGAATTACAGTGTGAGTGTGTGAAAACAAAAACACTAGACCCTGCCCCAGAGTGTGATTCTCTCGGTGCAGGTGCGGCCCCGACATTTAGAATTTTTTTTTTTAACATTTTATTAGGGGCTCATACAACTGTTATCGCAATCCATACACACATCAATTGTGTAAAGCGCATTTGTACATCATTCTCAAAACATTTTCTCTCCACTTAAACCCCCGACATTAGGTCCTCATTTTTCCCCTCCCTCCCCGCTCCCTACTCCCTCATGAGCCCTTGATAGTTTATCAATTGGTATTTTGTCATATCTTGCCCTGTCCGACGTCTCCCTACACCCACTTTTCGGTTGTCTGTCCCCTAGGGAGGAGGTCCCATATAGTTCCTTGTAATCGGTTCCCTCTTTCCTACTCATTCTCCCTTTACCCTCCCTGTTTCGCCACTCACACCACTGGTCCTGTAGGGCTCATCTGCCCTGGATTCCCTGTATTTCCAGTTCCTATCTGTACCAGTGTACATCCTCTGGTCTAGCCAGCTTTGCAAGGTCGAATTCGAGTCATGGTAGTAGGAGTGGGGAGGAAACATTTAGGAACTAGAGGAAAGTTGTATTTCTCATCGTTGTTACATCACACCCTGACTGGCTCATCTCCTCCCCGAGACCCCTCTGCAAGGGGATCTCCAGTGGCCTACTAATGGGCTTTGGATCTCCACTCCACACTCCCCCCATCATTCACTATGGTAAGATTTTTTGTTCTGATGATGCCTTATACCTGATCCCTTGGACACCTCGTGGTTGCATAGGCTGGTGTGCTTCTTCCATGTGGGCGTTGTTGCTTTTGAGCTAGATGGCCGCTTGATTACCTTCAAGCCTTTAGACATTTAGAATTTCTAACCAGATTCTAGGGGAGGCATATTCTGCTAGCCTAGGACCACACGTGCAAACTCTGATCTGAACCATACTCTTCTAATGAACCCAGAGTTGTTCTAGGTGAGATAACAGTGTAGATCGTTTAGACTACAGTTTTCAGCCTAAGCCTCTCCTCAAGTTGCTGAATAGTCTTTAGTTCAACTTAATTGCACAAGTAATATGTCTTCATTAAATGAAAACCAAGGAAAAAATAGGCAAAGAAAAACTATAAATTCTAGCAGGGCTGGTAATTTAGTACATATCCTTTCAAATTCTCACACATAGCTGGTTATTATGTATGTGGGTATATACATCCTGATGCACACATAGTTTTACACATAATTTTTGAGGCAGTTATATTTTATTTTCCAATAGTGTGATTGATATAAAATTCACATAGCATACACTTCTATAGTTAAAATATAAAATAGTTTTCACACACATTTGCATACACAAATAGAAGGCTTTAAAAAGTTTGTGGAACAGCTCTCCTTTAATTTCGTTTTTCCATAAGCTTCTTGAAGCCCACCCATATGCAAATGGCTGCTTTTAACAGTGCACCTTATTTTGTCGTTGGTGAGAGTGCCAGTTGAACAATGTCTCCACTCCGACGCTGGCTCCATTCTTCAAGCTGTGCCGTTTCTCGCCCTTGTTTCCCGAGGGGTTCCTCCCACCTTAGGATGGCCTCACTGCCCTCTAAGTTTCCTGTCTTTGCTTTCAGAGTTGGCTGTTGTCATTTTGAGCTTAAAGGGACAGTGCTCAGGGCAGAGTTTAAAGAAATAGGTAAACTAAGCTATTGCTTGGTTTTAAAAAGACCTCTAGAGATAGGGCCTCCTTTTTTTTTTTTTTTTTAACTTGGTAGACAGTGATTATCTTTTTATGTTGTCTGTGGTGTGTGTGTGGCCGTTGATTCAACGCCGACTCTTGGCAACTTCATCTGCAGCAGAGCTGTGTATATTGTATAAAAAGGCCTAGATACATTTTAATTGCTGCAAACTTCCAGTGTGTGCAGATACTACAGTTTATTTAATAATCGGTTTTCCATGATTGCACTCTTTAAGATTTTGTCCCAGTTTTTCATGATTAAATATAGTACTGTGTTGGATGTCTTAGTGCATACAATTCTCAGTATTTATCTTATTTTCTCAGGTTAATAACGGACATGGATAATTGCTGTGTAAAAGATTGTGTTTTTAAAAATCTTGGCTAGTTTGAGAGACAGTGTATGTTAGCTTAACTTGTATTTTTGGATATTGGAAATACTGACCGTTCACAACTTATACTTTGTTACCTAAGTATAACCATTGCCCATTGCCCCATCGGGTGTCCATCTTTTTTCATTGTCACCTGTCAGATCATTGCATTAGAATGTAAACTCACTTTGTCATATCTGTGGCATTTTATTGATTTCTTCCATTTTATTTGGCAGGCTCCTCCCCACCACCCCACAGCCCCATCCATAAAAACGTGCTAACACTTCTGGAGTCAGGTGCTGCCCAGCCCGCGGAATCACCATTTTCAGTGGCTTTGTTAAATTTTGCCGGGCTGGATGTGCCTTGCTTTACTTCGTTAGCCTCCAACCCCAGCAGTCTCACAGGAAGGAAGGCCTAAGCGGTCACCTGGTGCTGTGTTTCTCAATTTGCTGTCTTTTCCCTCTCCCTGCCTCTCTCTCCAGATGCTAACCCGGAGGTGACAATGACAATGCTGCGCTGGATCTATACGGACGAGTTGGAGCTCCGGGAAGATGATGTGTTCCTGACGGAACTGATGAAGCTAGCTAATCGGTTTCAGCTCCAGCTCCTTAGGGAGAGGCAAGTCACAGCAGATCTAGTCCAGCCCCTCAGATGGTGGTGGCTGAGCGTTAACTATGCCAAGCTCTGGGAAACCGTGTCTTCAGCGAGTGTGGGTAACTTCCGCAAGGTGTTCTTCTAAAGTCGATGGTGGGGAGAGAATCTCTCATCCTGGTGGTGCTCTGCTTTCGTGTAAGCGCTCACAGGCGCACAAAAGGGTCAGTGGTTCGCCTTCTCTGAAGGTGACAGCCCTGGAAGCCCGTGGGGCAGCTCCACTCTGTCCTAGGGGCCCTGTGAGCCGGAGTCCACTCAACGGTTTGGGTTGGGGTTTGCTCTGTGTTATGTGGGGCAGCTCCACTCTGTCCTAAGGACCCTGTGAGCCGGAGTCCACTCAACGGTTTAGGGTTTGGGTTTGCTCTGTTATCTTGTGAGCTAAATGTTGCCAAAGCTTTTTGGTATTCTTGTCTTTCACTGGGCGGTGAGCTGAAATTCCCTTAATTGTGTGAGCTCATCAGTGTATTGGAAATCCTGCAGTCCATACCCAAATGCTTCACTTTGCCTGCTGCACGATGTCCATGGACATTTTGTCCTACTTTCTGCATGTGCTACTTGCACAAAGGGAGTCCCTGGGCACATTCTTTGTGCAGAACACGTCTTGCCTCATTTGAGTACATGGGACTATATGGCTCCTTGTGTTTCATAGCTAGTCTTTCAGATCTAGTTATGTCATTTAAGTTAGTGCTTTGCTGATTTCAGATCGCGTGTCATTTAAGTTGCAGCTTTGCTGATTCTCAAGGAACCCTGGTGGCTTAGTCGGTTACGCTTTGGACTGTTAACTGTAAGGTGTGTGGTTCAAACAGCTGCTCCCCAGGAGAAAGATGAGCCTGACTGCTTCTGTCAGACTAGGGCCTCTGTGAGTCTGAATCTCAACCCAGAGGCAGTAGAAATCTTTTTGCATGTTTTTTTTTAATCTCGCCATTTTTCTCCCAAGTTGGCACATTAGGACAATAAAAAACAGAGTGTCCATCAAGGGGAGGCCAGACAAAGTGCCCTCAGGTGTTGGAGAGGTGGCCTTTGCCTGGCTCGGTGCAGTTTTTTTATATCACTTGGTGAGCTTTTGTATTCTCCTGGGGCGACAGTTGATGGCTGTCCTTCTGGGTGGGTGAAAGGATGGCTTCAGCCACCTGGAGACACTCCCCCAGTTGCCAAGTTGCCCTCAGGGAACAAAGGGAGGCAGGCTGCCTGGGACCTGCCTGCTCTGTTCTCACCCCCGGGGTGGCTCAATGTGCCCCTCAGGACTCGCCCCTTGACGACCTGTTACTGATCTGGGCTCAAGTGCAGTTTAATCCCCAAGTCCAAGTGTGTGTGGGCACATGCACTTAGACTAGCTAAGCAACTTTGCTGAAGAGGCCTTGCAGTTCATGCCTCTTTCCTTCGTTGCTTGCTTATTTAGGAGCATGTTGGAGCCACCTGAGAGTGAAATGAGAATCCTTTTAATTAAGCTGAGTGTGATTTTTATCATCATTTTATTTCAGTTCTGAGGTTTGCTGCACTTCCTCCAATCGATCTTGTCAAACTTGCATTTGGTGAGATTGCTTTGATATAAATGTCCTGTGGTTGGACTCATTTAGATCACTGTAATCTGCTTACAGGATTCTTTAATTAAAATGTTTGTTAATTATTGGCTGATCAGGCTTCCTAGCCATCAACACTACCACTTGCTCGGGTTTGTACTGTTGGGTGCGGGCATGAAGATCTTTTGCCGTCATCTGAAGAGCCCGGGTTGAGAAACCCGGGGAGTGGGGTCTAGTGTCCTGTAGTGCCCTCTGCTGTCTGCAGGAGCAATGGCACGTCGCCGATGGGCCTGGAAGGGGCTCTGATGCAGGCTCTGCAGTTGAGCAGATGTCACTCCTTGCTGCAACCTAGGGGTCTTGTTGGTTTTGAATGCCACCAATTTTGCAAAAGGAGATATTTTTTGGTAAGTTTTATCAGTAAAAGTTTTAAAAAGAGAGAGAGAGATAATAGTTTATGTAAAAAAGAGATAATGTCTCCCAGTTATAAAAGTGTAAACTGTGGGCAGTGTATGGTGTTTAGAAACCACAGAAGAATATTATAAAAAGAAAGAGATATCTGTTCAGTCACTGTGAACCCTTTGTTGTTTTCCTTTCAGTCATCTCTCTCTCTCTCTCTCTCTCTCACACACACACACCATCAATGTCAAAGCTAGACGCCTGAGTAAATGTATGCTGATTCTTTAACACGTAGACCTGTTGTCTGATGTGTACCCATATGTTTATTTTTTACTTTACAATTAAAACATACATTGACAACAACAAACTCCTTCCCGTGGCAAAAGCCAGTCTGCTTTGCCGCTTCTCAGCGAAGATTTGAGCTGAGTCTTCCTTTGTAAACGAGCTGACAGGCTCTTCAACTGCGGCAATCCTGTCAGCTGCTGCTCCGAGGCTGTCCAAATGGCACGGGCAATCCTAGAGGCTAGTGAGGAGTCGCTGCCGCCCATCTTACACCAGGCAAAGCCCCGTTCCTGTGCCAGTGGACAGCAAACAAGGACAGGGGGTTTACAGGTGGGCAGCATCTGTCAGTCAAAGCGCCTTGTAAAGTGCTCTACAAAAGGCAGGTGGCCTACTGCCCTGTGGGAGGCTGCTTGCGGTCAGGACGGGAAGACTGGAGGACGTTTGTGAAGTAAATGCAGCAAATGTTTGTTTCATATCTCTGAAAAGAGGCTGTCTTGTCCTCCAGTGTGCTGATTTCTTAGCGGAGGCCAGAGTGACTGTCAGATGCTGCCGTGGCGGTGTGGTATGAGCTTGGAGACTGGGGGAAACCAGGCTGCAGGAGCTACAGCTCAAACTTTATACTGTCCTCTGCCACCTACACTGTTATTCCTTTGTTTAGATACGGAAATGACTTGATTCGAAAATGCCCCGGGATCACTGTTTCTTTATAGCACGCCAGCTGCCCCTGGCAGAAGAAAACACCCAAGCACACACACCCCAGTCTTACTGTCAAGCAGGCACTTGCTGGTATCAAAGGAAAGGCCGAATCCAGGGTGCTTGATTTATAATGGCCCATGCGTGTATGTGATCAGCAAAAGTCATGTGCTTGCTTTTAAGGTAGCTAGGGCATCATACTTAACAAGCTGATTTGCAGATTATTTTGAATCTGGCCAGGACTGAACAATCTAATATCATAATAAAAGGCTAGTACTTTTAAAATACTGAGGACCCACTCTCCTTTATTTGGAGCTCTTGGCCGTGACCCTGCACTTCAGTGTTCCTGGACAGAGCCAGCCAGTGCACACACTGTTGTTTTGCTCTGGCCGTTTATGAAAGGTAATGCTGCTTGTCACTGCTCTTCTCCCGTAGGTGTGAGAAGGGCGTTATGTCGCTGGTGAACGTTAGGAACTGTATCCGCTTCTACCAGACAGCGGAGGAGTTGAACGCCGGCACACTGATGAACTACTGTGCAGAAATCATCGCCAGTCATTGGGTGAGTGGGAGCCAGCGGCTGGGATCTGTTTGGCGGAAAGTTATATCTCAGACCTAGTTTCCTCTTGTTCCAAAAAAAGGCGAGGTGGTTGGATTGGCTGATCTGTGAGATACTTTTCCGCTCCCGAAAGTGGTAGTTCTAGGAATGTAATGTGGAGAGGCAGGCAATAACTCGGGCAGTAACAAGGATGCCTGCCTGCCTGCCTGCCCTCCGTCTGCCGAAACTGCAGCCTTTGCAGGGAGCAGCAGTGTGTTCCAGAGCTTTCCCTGGCCGCCTCCTCCATGTCTAGGGAGCATTACTGTGAACTGCACTTCTCCCGTGGTTTTCATCATTCAAGCCCGTCTCACAGTTGTTCGTGACGGTACTGGCTCTGTAAGGGCTCGTTACTTGTTTTTGCCAGTCTCTTGCTACTGCTGCGTTTTGAAATTAGTTTGAGGTAGTTATTAATATTCAGTAACACTGTGAGAAAGGTCTTAGTATCTCAGAAAAGAATAGAAACAGGAATAGTAACCTCCATATCACAGTAAAGAACCCTGGTGGCATAGTGGTTACAAGTTCCAGGTCGGCAGTTCAAAAGCAACAGCCGGGAGAAAGACGGGGCTCTCTCCTCCCATAAAGAATCACAATCTTAGAGATGGACAGGGCCTACTCTGCCCTTTCCTGTAGGGTAGTATGTGTTGGCAATGACTCAATGACAGTGAGTGAGTGATATACCACAGTAGGTAGAGATAGAGTGATCTGTAAAGACTGTGATTCATTGGTGTGAATTATGGAAGTTCCAGTTGATTGTGAATTGCCATCTCTAATGGGAGTGGGGGGCAGGAGGTAAGCACTCCCCTTGAGGCTCATTTACAGGTGGTGCTGGGAATCCCTAGGGAGCTGTCATGGAGCATGACCTCCTGGCTGTCCAAGGAGGTGCCCGACTAGTGACTTGCTCTGAGCTTCGGCTTAGGCAAGTGACCACCTCTCCTGGGCACCGCTTTCTTCATCTGTTGACGGTAGTGCCTGCCTCACAGGCACTACTTAAAGTAGAGCCTGCCACCCTGTGAGGGCTTCCACAATGTCTGCTGTTAAAGTGATCGTTGATTGGTTGGAACCGCTCTTTTTTCACCTGTAGGATGACTTGCGGAAGGAGGACTTCAGCAGCATGAGTGCCCAGTTGTTATACAAAATGATCAAATCCAAGACTGAGTACCCTCTGCATAAAGCGATTAAAGTGGAGAGGGATGATGTCGTCTTCCTGTATCTGATTGAAATGGATTCACAGGTACTGTAACCTGTTTGTTTTTTCTCTCCATAGTTTTCACAATTTTCCCCAAAACCACTTGGTATTCAGTAGTGCTTTCTTACTTCCTTCTCCTACAATACCAGTTTGGGATTTATAATACACATTCAGCAGGCGTATTTCTACTAACAGTGTGATCAAGGGAAGCTGGCCTTTTCCTGTCATGCTCCTCAAAGTTCCTTCGGAGCCTCTACCCATTGTCCAATTCCAAAGCCACTTCAACAGCAGTGCCTGACATCCGGGCACCAAAACCCACATTCATTTTCTATTGGCATGTAACAAACTGTGACAGACGTAGTGGCTGAAAACACACCAGTATGTGTCATCTCACAGCTCTGTGAGTCTCATGAGACCGAAGCCAAGGTGTCAGCCAGCCGTGCTCCTTTCTGGAGTCACTAGGGGGAGTCTGTTTCCCACTGACTTGGATTGCTGGCCAAATCCAGTGTGGTTTGAGGAGGGCTACAAACTGAGGGCCATTCCTGGAGGCCACCATGCTTTCCCCCTCTCCCTTCAAAGGCGGCAGGTCAGGTCACATCTGTCTGCCTCGCTCTTGTCCCCCAGGGTCCCTACAATCTTAGATCGGGTCCACCTGGATAATCCACAGTCATCTCCCGGCTCTGGGTCTGTAATCTGCATCACTGTTGCAGGGTCCCTTTTGCTATGGAAAGCAAGATGGTCACAGGTCCTGGATATCGGAACATAGACATCTTTGGGGCGTGCTATTAAGCCTACCACACTGTCTGGCAGGAAAGCAGTTGTTCTTGACAGACGGCTGTGCAGTGTGTGTGAACCAGGTGCCCAGGGTCTGGGGAGGCAGTACGCTCCTAGAAGGGACCCAATCATTAAGCCACGATCCTTCACGAAAAGGTTACCTGTTTTGCTTGAAGCTGCCTGAACCTCTGCCTTGGTGCCTGTGCTTCTTCAGCACTCTGCCTTCAGGACCCCCACCCCGGGTCTGTACCTTGTCCTCCATATTTGTTGGTGTCTGTCCTGTGCTCCCTGGGGAGGCCTGGTAGAAGTTTGTGAGTTCATTTGAACTTGTGAAGTAAGCAGGGTTGAATAGCCCTAACATTTGACATTTGTATAACAGAGCCTCTTTAAGGCTTAAAGTGGAACAGAGTGGAACTGGTTGTATTCTCTCTCGACTGGCTACTGACTTATAAACTTCTCTGTGCAGCTCCCTGGGAAGTTGAATGAAGTGGACCAGAACGGCGATCTTGCCTTAGACCTAGCCCTCTCTCGGCGGCTAGAGAGCATAGCCACCACTCTGGTTAGCCACAAAGCTGATGTGGACATGGTAGACAAGAATGGTTGGAGCTTGTTACACAAAGGAATCCAAAGAGGTAGGAAGTCTCTCTGGTATTTTCCTCTGACGGCAGCTTTACTTTACACCATTTCCTGACCCGGTTCCAGAGACCCCCAAAGTCTTCCTTCACCGGTTGACTGCGTGACCTAGAACATGTGATCGCTGGGCCACAAGAGCTGCTCCTCACTGAAGAACGACTGCTTTGTGCCGTGTTTGCTCGTAGCCCTTCCATTCTTCCTTCCTGGTGCCAGGAGGGTCCCAGGGAGGAAGGCTCGGAAGCTGGAGGAGAACTTCCAGAAGGCGGCCCGTGTCCTTTGAGAGGCGCGCTTGTTCCGATTCTCCAGCAACAGCTGCAGAAGACGTGCATCCCTTACTGTTTGAGAGAGGGAGTAGCAAAACCACGCGACGTTTAAACATATTGCTAGCTTCTAGCGTCTCCCGTTAGCACTCTGGACTGTCATGGCAAAGCGAGCAAGTCTCATTTTGTTTCGAGAGAGCTCTTGGAAATTGCAGCTCTGTGTTGAGTATGTTATCATTAGGAGTGGGAAGAATATGCGAGTGCTAGAATGGAGATGGTCCACATTTTAATCGTAATGAGGCAGCTCTTTTGGGTGGAAAGTGTTTTGTTTTCTCTACGACTTGATTAATTCCCATGTGCCAGCTGGGTCCTGCCTGACTCATGTGCGGAGTTTGTTGTTGACAGAGGAGGAGTGAAGACTGGACAGTGTCAGAGCCCAAATTTTGTAGGGATGGTTGACCAAATTGAAGTACTTTGGCCAAGCTTGCTTCTTTGTTGTTTCCCTGTGTAGATTGAACACAGAATATTTAGGTTTCCCCATATCTACCATACATGCATCGGGAGAAAGATGAGGCTTTCTACTCCCATAAAGAATTACAGGCTCGGAAACCCACTGGCCCAGTTCTACCCTGTCCTGTCAGGTCACTGTGAGTGACACCAACTTGATGGCAGTGGGTTAATCACATTCATTTTGCCCTTCTGATAATGTGTTATACTATTAATGTCTCTGCTACTAGTAGCTTACTTCTCTCTCAATGCCACCGAATTGATGCCAATTCATAGCAACACTGTAGGACAGGGTAGAACTGCCCCAGCCAGTTTCAGAGACTAACTATTTACAGGAATAGAAAGCCCCATCTTTCTCCCACTGAGTGGCTGGTGGTTTCGAACTATGGACCTTGCAGATCACAGCTAGTTAGTGGACTATAGTTACTTCAAGATGTGGCTCTGTTATAGCTGTGACTTCTCCCTCTTTGGGCAAAGGTTTCAATATAAATATTCTTCCAGGTCATGTGTTAGAGTGTAAGCTTGCTGGCCGACGGAGGGGCCGTTGTTGCTTCTCACTGGAAGGAAACCCTTGGTGTGTGTCACCATTGAGAGCAGATGCGTTTTTCTCAGGCACCACCCACACTGTGCAGAGCCACCAGACACTCAGCCCAGGGCGTGGGTGTGCGTCCAGAGGGAGTCTTTTCCCTCACACAGGGAATTGCCCGTTCCCACACTGTGTAGTGTCTGTGATGTTTATTTTGGAAACAAATGCACTTGTTACTAAAATAACAATCTCAGAAGTAGGTTTCTTTCCTCTCGGGAGTTAAATTCTAATGTGTGAGGAGAAAACATCTCGGATGACTTGTTCAGTATTTCAGTGATTGCTGAGTTGCAGGCACAGGCAAGCCCCGGTGCTGCACTTTTGATGCTTGCTTTCAGCCGGTTTGCTCTTGCACTCTGCATTTGTCAGCTGCCTGCTGGTGTGCCGGGTCTGCCGTGGCTTATTGTGGCTGACGTTGGAAGGAGGGCAGCATGGCATCATGGGCAGAGCACTGGCATTGGAGCGTGGGTATACCAGCCTTTGAGTCCTGGCTCATCCATTTGCCCTGACCCTGACAGATCACATATCCACTCTTGAATTGTCTCTTGCTCATCTGTGAAGTGGACATCATTTCTGCCCTACCGGGCTGTTGGCAACGTTGGCACACTTACACTGCGCTTACCCCCTGGTCAGCAGTCCACCCAACGATTGCTCATGACTCCACGTCCCTCACTTCCTGTGTTGGAGGCTCATAATTGGCTCCAGCAAAGGACTGTTGTCACATTTCCTCCTTCAGTTGAAGCTGTCAATCTGCTGATCCACCCAAGTGATTAAGTAGTGAACTCTATACATGTG